AGAGAGAGCGAGAGCATGTGAAGGGGGGTAAGAGCAGAGAGAGGGAGAGAGAGAATCCCAAGCACAGAGCCCAGTGTGGGACTCAACCCCGTGAACCATGAAATCATGACCTGAACCAAGATCAAGAGTCAGGCGCTAAACCAACTGAGCCACCCAGGAGTCCCTCCTTGGCCTTTTTCAACTCTGGCTTGTTTGCTGTCCCAGTGAGACCAGGACTGGTGTGGGCTTGTGGATCCTGTGCTTGCTGAGGTTGCAAACTCCCTGTGACCTCAGGACCTAGCTGCTATGGTGTCTAGACTCTGCTCTGATCTAGGCTTTTAAGATGGATGGGAACATAAACCATGTTGTCATCCAGTCCCTCTGACCTGGAGAGTGTTCTTGCAGCTCCTCTACTACTTGATAGATTTCCTGTGTGGTCTGTTATATGTTAAGAGACTGTGCCCCAGGCCAGAGAGATCTGTTCTGTCTCCCTCAGTACATTCCCTCCCCACTGCTGTTGGTTGGCAGTGTTGGTGGGCAGGGTTCCCTGCCTTACCATGTCTCTGTTGCTCTTGCCATTCTCTCTATTTTTGGTTGTTTAGTAGCTGTTCAGTCAGCCCTCAGTATTACAGGGGAAAATTATTCTATTAATAGGTGTAATTTGGTGTGTCCTGGTGGAGGAAGCCAGTTCAGGGTCTTCCTATGTTGCCATCTTGGACTGGAATTCCCAGAAACTGTATTTTTAATAGCAGTGTACAGGAGATTCTGATGTAGGGGTTTCTGGGACCACATGATGTGAAAGACTGTCCAGAGATGTTTCTTAAAAAGTAGTTTCTTCCAGTAAATATACTTGTGGGAGGCAGTTTGCAACTGGAGACAGGGATTAATTCTGTGTGTTCAGTTTACTAGCTGTGGGGTTGATTATCCATGAGTGAAATCACTGAGTCTGAATTTCCTTCTTGCCCCACACTGAGTACAGGAAGCCAAGCCCTGGAGTGCAGTTTAGATCTCTGAGGTCTAAGGCAATCCTTTAGTCTTCCCAGCTGTAAAATGACCCATGTAATGGTCCATGTAATATTGTTTAATGGCTGTCTGTTAAGTTCATATATTTATGCTTCAACCCTTGAAGGAGTAATATCTCCTCAGGTATTGATCTCACGGTTCATGAGTTTGAGCCCCACCTCAGGCTCTGTGCTGACAGCATGGAGTCTGCCTGGGATTCTCTCTGTCCCTCTCTCTCTGCTCCTCACCTGTTTGCACTCTGTCTCTCTCTATCTCAAAATAAAATAAACTTAGAAACAGAGTAAAATGCTCTCTAAATAAATAAATAAATAGGGGCACCTGGATGGTTTAGTCAGTTGAGCGTCTGACTCTTGATTTTGGCTCAGGTCAGGATCTCATGGTTGGTGGGATCAAGTCCTGCATCAGTCTCTGCACTGTCAGCATGGAGCCTGGGATTCAACCTCTCCCTCTGCCCCTGTGTCCCACTCATGCTCTCTTTCTCTCAAACAAATAAATATTAAAATGACCTAGGACTAGATTTTCATACTCAGACAATAGGATAGAGGATTTCTCCAACGTATCTGTGGAGCACAAAAGCAGTGAATTAGCAACAGCATTTAAAATGTTAGTCATACGAAGGGTATGATACAATGAAAACAAACCTAGAGGTTAATGGTTTTTTTGTTGTTTGTTTTGTTTTTAATTTCTAGGAAAGAGAGAGAGACAGCGTGAGCAGGGGAGGGTCAGAGAGAGAGGGAGTCACAGACTCAGAAACAGGCTCCAGGCTCTGAGCTGGCAGTCAGCACAGAGCCCGACAAGGGGCTAGAACCAACAAACCGAAAGATCATGACCTAAGCGAAAGTCAGACGCTTAACCGACTAAGCCACCCAGGCACCCCAAACCTAGAGGTTAAAAATAGAAAGCAACAGAAAAAAAGCTGGCTTTCTTTTTAATCATTTGGAAGAAGAGTCCATTCATCAGTTGATGAATCTACTTTTTGACCATTATGAATTTTTTAAGTTATATTGAAAATAATCCATATACTGTACAGTTTACCCACTTAGAGGGTACAATTCAAAAGCTTTCAGTGTTTCAGTGTGCAACCATCCCTGCAGTAAATTTTAGAAGATTCTCACTCCTCCCAAACGAAAAGCCCATGCCCCTTTGCCGTCATCTGTGATCCTGCTATTCACCCCAACCCTAGGCCACCACTATCTGCTTTCTAGCTCCATAGATTTTCCTTCTGTGAACATTTCATATTAGTAGACCTTTTGTGATTAGCTTCCTCACTTACCATAATATTTTCAAGGTTCATCTATGTTGGAGCATGTATCGGTACTACATTTATTTGGAATAAATGTAATAAGTACCACACTTTGTACTGCTGAGTAATAATCTACTGTATGGATATACCATATTTAATATACCAGTTTACCCGTTGATGAATCTACTTTTTAGCTATTACAAATAATGCCATTATGAACATTCACGTACAAGTTATGTGAACGTGTTTTCATTTCTCCTGGGTATATAGGAATGAAATCATTGGGCTGTATGGTAACTCTATGTTTAACCCTTCAAGGAACTGTGGAACTGTTTGTTAGAGTCACTGTACTGTTTTATACTAAGGATTTTAGTTAGTTTCTCTTTTTTTTCTTAACGTAGGTTCCACACCCAGTATGGAGCCAACATGGGGGTTGAACTCAAGACCCTGAGATCGAGACATGAGCTGAGATCAAGAGTCAGCTGCAAAACTGACTGAGCCACCCAGACACCCCTAATTAGTTTCCCTCTCACAGACTCCCAAGAAGCTACAGATCACCAGCAATGAGCAATTACACTGTAAATCATACTTACTAGTCAAACCTAATTACTCCCTTCCTGAAACTAGGTGATGAGGGAAATGGTAGAGGAAGGAGGGAGAGAGAAGCATATGGTCTCTGGGTTGAACCCACATTTCTCAGGTTGGCATCCAAGGTCAATTGTGCATAAGGTAGAGACCTTACAGTTTTACCTGAGTTTATCTTCAGGATTTGGACACTTCCAATGTTTCTGGTTGCACTGGATGCAGGTTGTGAAAATCTGTTGACATGAGGTAGGAAGGAAGATAAAAATGGACCGTGACTCAAGGTCTGCTGCCCCTGGGGACTGTCTCTCAGCTCTATGGAAAAAGGGACTAAGAGCAGAAGCTGATGAACCTTCCACTGAGGACTCCAGTGCTGGAAAATACTCAGTATTGCTTAGCACCCAGGCAGATGAGAAGAATTCTCCTTACTCCTTCATAGGCACTAACACCGGGTCCAGGGAGCTCTCAAGGTGACAACCAGAGGAGATATACTGAAGCAGTTTTGTGAGTGGAGGATGTTAGTGTGTGTAGGTGTGGGAGCAATACAAGTGATCAGAAAATTCTGTCAGACTTGTTCCTTGACACTCACAAGATACTTCCTGGCATTAGCTGGGTGGGTATCCGAGGGGAGTCACGTGTCCTGCACTGAGAAATGTGGTTAAGAGCCAGGGAGTTATGACTCATTCCAAACAATATGGCTCCATTTGTTGTCCCCGGATAGTGAGATTTCAGGAAACCTGAGCTATCAACATAATTTTGTTTATTGTTTTCTAATTGTTTCTGTCAGCATTAAGTCCTCAAATAAAAATTGAGTGTAGCACATCATATATCTTTTCCCTGTTCTTTCCACCTTTGTCCTCTTGAGACCCTGTTCAGAGCACGGGTTTTGCTGGCATCACTTGCCTGGGCAAGATGCTGTGCACCTGGTATACCTTCTTTAGCACCCCACAGGTGCCAGTGGTGCTCTCTCCAGCTCAGCCTACCTGCCCATCTTACCTTCCACTCAGAGCACCGCTGCCTTTCCTCCCCAGGCACCAGATCCAATAATAAGGAAGCTAACCCTTTCCCTGAGATGTACGTTTGTCCAATTCAGTCCAATGGAATGACTTTACTCTTGCAGCTGGTGTGAGTTGTATTTTCCACTAGAGGCCTCTTGGAAAACGAGAGAAACTTTGGGGCCTTTTGTCTCTATTTATTCTTTAATTTAATAGGAAAACCTCTCCAAGAGCATTTAGATTGCCTCCAGCATGGGGCATAAAAGAGAATGGATGACACTTTGTCATTTCCTATAACAGAGGTCGGAAGAGGAGAGAGAATGCGGATGGCAGCACGCGGTGTTAACAAGATATAATGGAAAGAGAGGAGCCCACCTGCTGTCAGAGTGTGAGGGCAGCCTGTTTGTGTGCATAAGGGTGCATGGTGGTGGGGATCAGGGTGAAGCTGAAGTCCTGGATTCCTAAGATTGGAGGAGGAAAAAAGTCTGTGCTATTCAGTGGTTAGAATGTTAGACCAGTCTGGGTTATATATAGTTCGTAAACTGTATGACATTCCATTAATCACTAGCTGGGTCTTGAAGACTTAAGGTGCAGCAAATTTTGAAAAAAACCCAGAACTCCTCCTTTATATTCCATCACTTCTAAGTTATTTATTAATTAAATCTTTGGCTCTATTCACAAATTGATGCTATACATACCAGTGATCTCAAGTGCATACAACGCTATTGTTTTTTTATAATTTATTTATTTATTTTGAAAGAGAGAGAGCTCGTGAGTGAGCACTAGTTGGGGAGGGGCAGAGACAGAAAGGGAGAGAGAGAGAGAATCCCAAGCAGGCTCAATGCTCAGCTCAGAGTGGGGCTCCGTCCCACGACCGTGGGATCATGACCTGAAATCAAGAGTTGGAGGCTTAACTGACTGAGCCACCCAGGTGCCCCACAACACAATGCTTAATACAGAAAATAACATGAAAAGTGTTGTTATTGTAGTTGTGATTTTTTAAACATAATTTATTGTCAAGTTGGCTAACATACAGCATATACAGTGTGCTCTTCATTTAGGGGTAGATTCCTGTGATTCATCACTTACATACAACACCCAGTGCTCATCCCAACAAGTGCCCTCCTCAATACCCATCACCGAAAGTTGTAATTTTTCAGTTAAAAAAAAAAAAACCTTGAAGTTTCTATAATGTTTTCATTTCTTAGTCAAAATGTAAATATATAGTTAAATCTATTGAAATATAGCTGACATATAACGCTGCAAATTTAAGGTTGATTTGACACGTTTATATACCGTAATATGATTGTAGCCATAGTTACCACCTCTATCGTGTCATATATTTATCATTTCTTTTCTGTGGTATGAGTAATCAAGATCTAGCCTCTTAGCAAATTTGATGATTATAAAATGATATTGTTGTCTATATTCACTATACTATACATTAGATCTCCAGGACTTACTTACTAATCAGTTGCAGATTTGTACCCTTAAACATCTCTCCTATTCCCCCAACCCTGAGCTTCTGGTAACCACCATTTAAATTTAAATTAATCAGAACAGGCAAATAGTTTGCAGCCAAGAAGGTGACTGATGGTCTCATGCTGGGTCCACTGACTTTGTTTTGGTTCACACCGACCCTGATGTCATGGGCCCTTCAGTATTTACCTAGAAAACCCCAATCACCCCAAGCAAATCATGAATTTTGTGGTTTCCTTGAAGACTTTCAGGATGAAAAGCAATTTCATATCTGCTAATATAAAAACGTCTAATTGGAGGAAAACCCCTCCATTATTGATGTCATTTCAGAAGACCTTTCTCTAGGTCCTTAGCTTCCAAAGGGGCCTTGTGTTCTGCTGCTTTCCGATCACCTTGAACCTAGGTTTGTCCAAGCGCTTTTGAACAAAGCACGTCTGCACCTTACAAGGAAATTTTCCGGATAATGACCAAGAAAATGAAATTTTTCTCCATAGGATTACAGTCCACAGTGACAAACCAGCATTCTCTCTTTCTCTTTTTTGCTTATTTGATCTCTGTCCCTCCTGGTGTGACTTTTTTCTTCACACACGTTTTAGAGAAATGTATTATTTTGGTTTCTAGCATGTGCGCACAACACCCTTTTTTATTCTTCACACGCTGTGTTAAAGGAAGGGTGGAATGGGGGCAAAATCTTCCCACATGCCTCCCACAGTGCAAGCACTGGGATTGCCTGATCCCATGGCTTGTCCAGGGTACGTTCCTTCAAAATTCAACCTGTTCTCTGCTTTTTCTTCAAACTATGTTCCCACCTCAGTTAATAGGACAAGAGAACTCAGGTTGTATAGGACAGTCGAGATGGAGGACTGTCTGGGGAAGGAGGCAGAAGTGAGGGAGGGGAGACACCAAGCCCTATGTGGGCCTTGGCCCCCCAGCCTTTGAATGGACCCAACACATTGGTGTCTATGCAGGGCCAAACCATATAGGATCTAAAATGACTGTAAGGGTGGAAAAACATTACAAAAAATGGGCGACAGTGTTACAGATGTGAGGGATCTGGCTGCTTTATACAAACATAGAGACAAACCCAAAGCATCACCCCAGGGAGGATGACCAAGGGACTATCACAATACATAGTGCCTGCAGGAAGTCAGTTCAGAAGTAGCTCCCTTACCAAGTCCTAGGACCACCGCCCCGACTCCAATCTAGTCCCTGTCTCAGAACAGCCTGCGTGATTCATGTGTAAACACTCTGCCCAGTGGGTTCCTCCATAAGCCTGGTCCAGAATGGTGGCCAGTGGCTCGGTCCTTGCTTACACCATACCAGTTGAGAAATATCTTGAACATGAACTTGGTGGAGGGGTTTTCGCTTCCCTTCCCACCACCATCCCATGGGCACCATATCCTGATTCCTCATTCCTCAGGGGAAGATGCTGAAGGGAGAAAGCTTCCAGAGTCCAAACACCTCTCAGACTTTTCCTCTGCTGGCCACATCTCTGTACCCTGCTCCTGAAGAAACTCTAAGAGGTGCAAAGCGACAGAATCAGCCCCATTTTTAGAAAGCTTGATACTGGCAATTTTCTGCAGCTTGTTTTTCATCTTTTCTCTCTCCTTTGAGTCCTGGTTTATTTTCACACCCTGTATGAAGTGGTGGATGGCCCTGTTCTCACTCTTCAGTTGGTAGAGCTGGAAGTTGCCATAGCGCAGATGGAGGACTTGTTTGGCTACAGGAGAAAGCTCTTTGCAGAATTCTTTTTGGAAGTAATGCTCTGCTTCATCATACTGACCTGCTTGTGCATAGAGGCAGGCCAGGTAGGAGCAGACACAGGGGAGGTTTGTATTAGCCTCCTCTGCTCTCTTCAAATGATACACAGCTTGTTCAATGGCTTCCTGTGATTTCTCTCTTCTCCTGTACATGTCATTCTTTCCTGTGTCCTGTAGGATTTCAAGGACTTTTGACCTGTAGCAGCACCCAGTGTAGTAATGTAGGTAGGCATTGTTGGGCATGCCTTCTAGAGCCTTTCTAAGCAGTTCGATAGCTTTGTCCAGGGCTCCTTTTCTTTGATACAGCTTCGCTGCTCCGCAAAGCACATCGGTTGCACACGGGACCTCCTTCAAAGCTTCCTCCACGAGCCTCTCTCCTTCACCATCTTCCTTCATCCTCTGAAGTTTCAGAGCCAAGAGCACTTTCGCATACTGGTTGTCAGGATTCAGCCTGATGGCCTGCCTCAGAAGGTTGACAGGATTCTGAGGCAGCTTCCAGGTGTCCAGACGGTAGCTCGTGATGGCCAGGCCAGAGGCGAATTCCGCGTTCTGGGGATTCTTTTCCAGAGCCTTCTCAAAGCACACCTTGGCCCTCTCGATGTGCTTTCCTCCACACTGTAACCGGGCCCACCCCTCCTCACAGTCCATCTCAGGACTCTCGATTCTGTAGGGGCTGCGGAACTTCTCACATACCTGTCGCACCTTGTCCACATACATCTGAGCATCTGCGGGTCTGCCCAGGTGGTAGTAGACCCAGGCATAGTTTCCCCAGGTGACCAGACTTCTGATGTCTGCCTGCTCCGAGTGCTCTTGCTGGATCAGCTCCTCAGCCCGCCGTAGACACCCCAGGGCATCCTCGTCATGGCCTCTGCAGTGCTTTATGTAGGCCAGTATGTTGAACACCGTGGCTTTGAATTCATTGTTCTGGAACTCAGTCACATTACACACCTCATCTTCAAAGTCATCCAAGGACTTTCCTCCCTCCACCAAGTTCCAGGTGAAATGGCATTTTAGTTGCCGCAGACAGCTCTCCAAGGTGCTCCTAGTGGTCTCGCTGGAGGACGAAACAGAGAGACGGACACTGTGAGACACAGCTCGGATTCTCGGGGAGCAGGGCAGATACAATTCCCCTCCTCTCCTCCTCAAGGGTGTTCACCCTATTCAAAAGAGAACAATATTTCCTTTTTGTTCCTTTCTATATTTTGGCCTATGCGTTAAATGCTCAGGGACTCAGGGACTGGGTGGTGACTGGGCAGCCAAAGAATTAGGAAGAAGGCAGTAGCAGGGGGCCGGGGAGGAGGGAATGCTCTGAGCCGGGGGGTGAGTTTCCCTGAAGGAGGTGGTTTCCATCAGGTCAGGTAGCACTGGGCCTTGGCTGTCTGTGGCCAAACCTGGGGGAGAGGATTCCAGCCCACAGTGGACCTGACACAGTTCTGAAGAAGAAAGGCTATTTATTACTTTACATTTCTGTTCATCTTACCTAGCATTTACTTCCATGTTTTGAAGATCTTAGCTTTAGAATGGCCTATTCTTTTAAGGTTTTGCTGGCTTGGTTTTAATCTCATTATCCCTCTGAAGTTCAACTGCATTTTTTTCCCTATAGTTTTAGTTCCTTCATTCTCCTTCATCTGTCCTTTTTAGCATTATTTCTTTCTATGGCCTGTCTTATTATTTGAGCTTTCCATATCTCCTTAATTGATTTTATTTGTTTATCCAAATTCTTTTTTTTTTTTTTTTTTGGATCCTATTGGCTTTGTCTTTTTATTAATTTGTCATTCTCTGTCCTCATTTTATCTGCACTTTTCCATTTTAACCATTTAAATTGTATTTCAACATTTATTAATTCTTACTTCTACCCCTTAATTTTATTATTATTATTATTATTATTATTATTATATGCTAGCAATGTTTTACACTTCTATTTTGGAATAAAATAAGTCATTTTTTCTCCCCTCCACCCCCACCTCTATTTCTTAGACTGGTGATTTCTGTTCTTAACATCTCTCATTGTGTTGGTCTATTAAAAATTTTGCATTGGTTGCCTTAATTATCTTTTGAAATTTTATTTTTCCTCTCTTGTGGCTTGCTTTCACACACAGTGTTAGAAGTGCAGTTCTGGGAGAAGGCTCACAAGACAGCTAGCATCTTTTGTTATGGGAAATGGTCTTTTTCCCTTAAGGTACTTTTGTAACTCTTCTGGAAAGATTTTCCATTCCCTTCAGGGTTAGTTCTTTAAAATGGAATGGAATGGGATGGAATAAAATAGAAAAAAAAACCTCACTCTCCACCCAAAAACCCTATCTTAGATAACTTCAGAGGTGAGCAGGTTAAAAATCATCAACTTCCTCGAATCATTTCTCTGCATTGCCTATGTATTGGAATCCTTGAAATGTTGCTCTTTCTCACTTAATTTTTTTTCCTTCAGGGTATATGTTAATTAGCCCTTTGATGAGAAGCTGATATTCTAAATGTTATGAATTCTGACATAGACAAGCAGTAGATATCTGGGAAGTCACGTAATGTGGCAAAGACCACAGTTGAAATATTGTCCAAATGGAAGATTATATTCCCCTCCATTTTTTTTTCCTGTCCCCCATCTTTCACTTTTGATATCCTCTCCCACCCCCCAATTTGATTACTAGATCAGGGCTGGGCACCCAAACTCAAGTGGCAGCTGGAAATGGAACTGAGAGGGAGCTGGTTTTCCGGAGTCAGGGAGAGCACTGTGCACACTGGAGGTGTCATGGCAGCCACAGTCTGCAACTCACACTGGACAGACTGACTGGATGCACATGTGCACATCTGGGGCCCCCAAGCTCTCCACTGTCCTGTTCTGGCCCTCCTGGGGTGGCTGTAGTCTTGGCGGGAGGGCTGTGAGCCCTTCCAGGAACTTTAAATCAGTCCCTGTTCATTTGTGTTACTTGAATCAAATGGAGACTCAACCTACCCCAATAGAATAAATAGAAAAGATGAAGGAAAATGGGTAGAAGTTTCTTCTTGGGGAAGGACCCTCTGTCTTTTCAAAGCCCTGGACAGTTCTCAGTGTAGAACCAGGATGTGTGAGCCTCTTGATGTAATATGGAGGGTGGTGGTGGTGGTGGTGGTGGTGTATGTGTGTGTGTGTGTGTGCGCGCGCGCAGGTGTATATGTGTGTGAGCCAAGGAGAGTGCCTGGCATGGTATCTGGCACTGTAGTGACAGCAGCCTCCCCTTGAAAAGTTCATGTCCAACCTGATCTATTTTCCTTCTCAGTAAGGTTTCAGGAAGCTTCCCTTAGCACTAAGCTCTTTAGCAACTTTCTCATTTTATAAAAGAAACAGAGTGAATACAGTTGAAATTATCACCAGTGTATAGAGCATATGTTCAATTGTGCATCTGCAGGATAGAGGCACTTACTATACACCCTTATGTAAAATCCCTTTGGGTGGCCATTCAAAACATCCAATTTTACTGTGTGATTATAGGCTTTTATTTCTACCAGTGAATCAGAAGCCAGTTCCAGACACTTGCTTTCTGGATGCAGACTTGTGAGAATTATGCTCCTGATACCTCTAGAAGCACCAACTGTATACACACAACACTTCCTTCCCCTGCTTCTGGTCTGGATGAAAGCCTTGGTGATGGTGTTTATCTGGCTCAGAGCTAATCCTGTTACCGGTATCTTAGAGCAGTTAGAAATACACATCCTTGGGCCTCAACCTATGATTACCAAATCAGAATCTGAAGTGGGAGAGATTGAGCCCAGGAATGGTCTTTAGCAAGCCCTCCAGAGGAATTTTATGCATGCTTAAATTAGAGAACCACTACCTTAGTGAACAGAGCCAGTGCCTGTTGACAGTGCCCATAGCTAAGAGAGCAAAGACAATTAGGAGAGACACTGGTGGGTCTGTGTTCTTAAGGGGAAGACTCTAAGACCATGCTAAAGTTCTAGGAAATATTTCTAAATATTATGAGTTACTATCAAACAGACATCTGGAAATAGATCAAATCTTTCTCTTTCCTATTAGACAGACAGGCAGAGGAGCAGAAAAAAAAATTTCAAGAGGAGAGAACAGAAAACTTCTAGAAGGAGGGCAATGTGTCCTCTAGGAAGGAAGTGCTGGGCAGGCGCCTCTGGATTCTGGAGCTCCCAGGACTGGGGCCTAGGCACCTAGTTTGGCCACCCCATCCTCACATTGGAGAAAACAGAAGTCTCCCTTCCTACCTTTCTTCCTTCCTGGGCAATCTTAGAGAATTTTGGAGGTGGGGGCTATTTTCTCCAAGCACCCTACCTCCAACTCATACTTCAGAGAGAACTCGAACCAATCAGTAGCATTTTGGGGTAATATATATTTCTGTTGAGTGAATGAATACATTTTACCAGCCCTAATACAAATCTGAGATGAATGAGCACATGAAAAGTAAAATCTAGCTTAGCAGGAGCTGGGGTTGCTACCCGGAGTACATTGTAACAATATCTGCCAAAAAGAGATTCTTTGTTAAATAAGAATCCTATTAAAAGCCCCCACTTAATCCCTTCAAATAAGAAACAGAAGAGAGCGTCTACTGGAGCAATTTCCCCAGATCCCTCTTTAAATGAAGCACCTGCCTGAGTAAGCATCTCTCTCTCTGCCATACCGCCACTTCCTCCCCCCTCTGGACCTCAGCTGTTGGCTTCATCGGCTTCCCGGGAGAGGTGCGCTGACAAAGCTTGACTGTGTGCGGCAGAAAATCACAGAAATAAAGCAGCCAGCTTCGGTAAGACAAACGCACGACCTGCAGACAGCTGCGAGCTAGACTACAGGCAAACACTAAAGCAAAACAAATCAGGAACTTGTGTTTCAGGAGCATGACTGTATAGGATTTGCATTCCCCAACGAGATTGACCGGACACTGTCAACACGATCAGACCAGGAGAATCTTTACCTCATGATCACGGGGCACTTCTCAGCTGTTCTGAAAGGTTGCAGCTCAGGCCACTGTGCTCTTCAGAAATCTTCCTAGTCTGCCTCAGGGAGATGCTAAGGAGACCTTTATGTGGAAGCATTACTTGGTTCCTTTGCCCCTTTCTCCCACAGTTGGCTTGAAGAAAAAGGAACTGAAACTGGAAAGGGAAACTGACAGGGGCTCTGAGGGGAAATGAACCTTGAGTAGGAGCTGAGCCTATAGCACCCCCCAGTCCCCACCCCACAGTGAGTCAGAACTTCCCCTTTGTGATTGTTGTGATATCCTAGGTCAGCTGACGTCAAGGCAGCCAGGCTTGGAGAAGGATGCATACATGTACCAAGCACCAAGCGCCCTGCCTCATTTCTTTAGTGTTAACCCATCGTCTCTCTGCCCGTCCTTATCACCGGTGCGGCCCGCAGACCCTTGTAAGGGCTGGCATTTGTGTCTGTTTCCTTCACCGCTGAATCTCCAGTCCCTGTAGTAATACCCAGCACATGGCAGCCATTCCAAGGGTAGAGGCTAAATGAATGAATGATTAATGAATGGGCTCTGATGTCATCTGTCTGGATTTGAACCCGGGCTCCATATATATACCGTGACGCTGGAAATTATCGAATGTTTCTCTGTGCCTCAGTTTGTTCTCTTGTGAAATGGGGATCCCATTACTACTACTAACTCATAAGGGTGCTATGAGCATCAAATGGGTTAAAGCATGAAATGTCCTTAGAATGATGCCTGGCATATAATAAGTACATGCTGGGTTTTTTTAAAAATGATAATTAAGAGCTAAAATTATTAACCAAAGAGATCAGGAGGGAAATCTTTGATGTTGCCTTTTCCAGAGCTTTAGCTCCTCTGACCGTCCACCATCCATCCAGCCTGATCACTAACCCAAGCCAAACAACTCCTAACACTTGTACACATTCTGGGCTTCCCTGAGCACCACGACACTTAAAGTCCCTTGGATCACCCTGTGTCTGGCACCTGTGTGTCGCAACGTGCAGCCATGGAGATTCGTGATGATGGAGGAGAGCTCATTTCTTTGCCTTTTCCTTATTCAAACCCTTGATCTTAAAGGGGTTACTGTGTGTGTAGACCCAAGAAGACAAGAGGTAACAGTGCCGGGCATCACTGAGGTCAGGAAATTACACAGAGCACAAGGGAAACCTGTTGTCCAGGACACCTGGGGTTGTGGAGACAGGTAGCTCCATCCTGGAGAAAGCATCATTTATGGTACGCTTTGTCTTCCTAGGGGTAGGTGCAAGCAAGAGCTCTGTTCCTTGATGATTCTCTGCCCTTTTACTGGGACACACAGCCAAGGCTCTCCCAGTCGGAAACCCTTACTTTTAGGTGTCATTCAGGAGTTACAAGTTCTACGATTTATAGAAATGCATGCTAAATGTACAAGAAATGCTGTAGAGGGAAACTAGGAGCCCCGTGGAGTTTGTTGTTTGTTTTTAATCTGCCTTCAAGAAAACTATTGGATAGAAATGTTTAAATCTTATTATATGGGTACCGGGTTGGGGGCAAGCAGGCGATAACTGTGTTTTGAAATGCCCAGAACTATTGTTTTTACTCTTTGGAAATCTGTCTGGCCAGTGCCTGGGTTTAGTGGGTTCACAACACTGTGTACCAGCCACTCTGGCAGCCAGGTTAGTGTCAGAATATGCAGTGTGAATGCAAAATAGAAACTGAAAAAGAAAACCAACTCTCTCCTGGTAGTATTTCTATTTTGAGAAAAATGAAACTGAACTTACTGAGAGTTGTGATTACTCTGTTACAGCTATTGCTGTGTCTGTATCTGGAATACAGGCTCAGGGCTGTCCCTGTCTCAGCTCAGACTAAGGACGAGTCCTTGTTTGCTGTTCTGAGAATGGGGAAGGTCACCTGAGTGGCTGCCTCAAGTACAAAGGGGTATAATACACTAGTTCCCACATTGCCATCGGACACAAGAAGGAAAAACAAAAAAAGATAAAAATGGAGAGGGAGGCAAACCATAAGAGATTCTTTTTTTTTTTTTTTTTTTTTTTTTTTTTTTTTTTTTTTTTTTTTTTTTTTTAGAAAGAGAGAGAGAGACAGCGTGAGCAGGGGAGGGTCAGAGAGAGAGGGAGACACAGACTCTGAAACAGGCTCCAGGCTCTGAGCTGGCAGTCAGCACAGAGCCCGACGCGGGGCTCGAACCCACGAACCGCGAGCTCATGACCTAAGTGAAAGTCGGACGCTTAACCGACTAAGCCACCCAGGCGCCCCAGAGATTCTTAAATACAAAGAAAAACTGAGAGTTGTTGGAGGGGAGGTGGGTGGGGGTTGGGCTAAATGGGAGATGGGCACCAAGGAGGGTACTTGTTGGGATGAGCACTGGGTGTTATAGGTAAATGATGATTTAATTTTATTTAAGGAAATTCTTTTTTTTTAAATTTTTATTTATTTGTAGGAGAGAGAGAGACAGCGTGAGCAGGGGAGGGTCAGAGAGAGAGGGAGACACAGACTCTGAAATAGGCTCCAGGCTCTGAGCTGGCAGTCAGCACAGAGCCCGACGTGGGGCTCGAACCCAGGAACTGCGAGATCATGACCTAAGCGAAAGTCGGACGCTTAAGCGACTAAGCCACCCAGGCGCCCCGATTTAATTTTATTTAAATGATGAATCATTTAAATTTTATTCTTGAAACCAATATATTAAAAAAGAAACTAAAAAAAGAAAAAGTACCAGCATCACCTGGTACTGGTATTGCTGGAAGTTTCTGTAGAACAGGTGGAGCACCTATCTCTCTGCCAGAGGCAGATCCTTGCTGAATTCCTTCTGGAAGCAATACTCTGCCTTCTCATACTGCCCATTATACTATAGAAACAGGCAAAGTCCGTGCGGGCTCGGGGAAGGTTAATATTCAACTCGACGACTTTCTTAAAGTGATGCAGGGCATTCTCCATTATCTCTCACAGCTCCTCTTGTCTTGGGCTCCTGGTGTACTTTTTTGACCTCTGTATTTGTCTGATTTTTGCCCTGTCGCGGCATCCAATCTGCAGATGTTGATAGACCTTGTTTGGCTGGATTGCAAAACCTTTTTGAGTAATTCTATAGCTGTGTCTAGAGTCCCTCTATTTAGGTAATATTTGGCCATGCTGCAGAGGGCATCTTCAGGGCATGGTGTTTCCTTCAAGGCCTCTTCCATTAGCATACCTCCTTCAGTTTGTTTTGTGGTCTTCTGGAGAGTCAGAGCCAGGAGAACAGTAACATACTGGTTGCCAGGATTCAGTTGGATGGGCTGCCTCAGAAGCTGAATGGTGTTCTCTGTTGGTGCTTTGTCACCCTGATGATAGGGTGATGGCCAGTCCCAGGGAAAACTTTGGGTAGTGGGTTTCCCTTGCAAAGCCTTCTCAAAACACTCCTTAGCCCGTTCATAATACTTTTTTCTCATTTTAAAAGTGCCCATCCTTCTTCACAGTCAATCTCTAGGCATTCGATTCTGTAGGAACTTGCAAACTTCTTGCAAAAGTTTCCCACCTTGTCGATGCCAGACGGAGCTTCTGGAAGCCTGCCCTTGTGATAATAGACCCAGGTGTAGTTTCCCCAGGTGACCATACTTCTGATTTGGCCTTGGCATCCTGTCATCACAGGATAAACCCTTCCACTTGCTGTGAGTATTCCAGAACCTCCTTGTGCTGGCCTCTGAGGTATTTAACACAGGCAAACAGATTGTACATGATTGCTTTGAATTCTTTGTTTAGAAACTGTAGCTGATCACATACTCTGTTTTCCATATCATCTAAGGAACACTTTTTGTCATATAAATTCCAGGTAAAATGGCATTTCAATTGTAGTAAGTTATTTTCCAAGGAAGATTTGGTGATATCACTGTTGGGGAAGAAAAGCAAACATTGGGGGATGTGAGTGAACAGATGTACAAAGCAACAGGTTTAGGGTGGGCTGTTTGACCATGTCTGAGAGGAATGCCCACTCTGAGCTTGGGCTTCCAGTCTCTAGAATTGTAAGAACCGAATTTCTGTTATTTATAAGCTACCCTGTCTGTGGTATTTTGTCATAGCCACTCAATGGACGAAGATGAAGGGATGGCCCAAAAAGAAGGGGGTGTGGAGGAAATGTATTACCAAGGGACACCCCACTTCCATTTGTCTTAGAGAAGTGTGTGCACAGAGGTCCTGGAGCCCCGATGGCAAAAGAAGGGGATTTCTCTGTAGAAATGCGATTGGAGAATGGTGTGTGTGTAGCGGGTGGTGGTGGTGAGTTGTAACATTTAGTGAGGGGTTTTTGTTCCTTTCCTCATGCATGGAAACCAGGGCATGACAGCACGAACAGTTAGAAGACAACGGAGATGTGCCTTCCAACAACTGTGGGAAAATAATTTTAGATTTAAAATTCTAAACATAACCAAATAGTTATTTAAATGTGAGGAAAGAGTGAAGACCCTTCCCTACATGGCAATTAGAGATTTATGTTACAGACACTGTTCCTCAGGAAGCTGGGAGGAGGGTCTCATTACAATTAGGAGTAAATCCAGGTAGCAAATAAAGAAATGGGATTTAGGAAACAAAGACTCAGTGTAAGAGAAGGTCTTCCATAAGAGAGAGGTGAAGGGAAAACCTGGATGCAGGGGAAGGGAAATCACCACACTTCACCACCAGTGTAGACAAGAGCAGGTCAAAGATGTGAATGATTTCCACAGAAATGTGACAATGACAGCTTGCCTAAGGTTTGAAAATATGGAGAGGAAGTTTATTCACCTAGAATGGAGCTTGGGGCTGAGATGGTGGTAAGTACTTAGAAATCTAAGAAAAAGACACAAAGAACAAAACAACTTGTTTTTTGCTTACTTGTTTCCTTTAACTTCAGAAAAAATGAACCAAAATCCAGGAAGAGAGGTCACTGTAGAACAAGACCAGGCTCATTTGTGAACAGGGTTTATGTGGTTGTGATAATCCAAATACTGAATATTGATCTAACCCAAGTCACCAAGTGATATTGGAGTGGGAGAATGGAGGAGAGGAGAGGTATGTAGAGGTGTGTGTGTGTGTGTGTGTGTGTGTGTGTGTGTGTGTGTGTTGGGGAGAATCTATGGTGGAAAGCAAATAGAAAATGACTAAAATGAAAAAATCAGGAACTTCCAGTATAAGCATATTGTGGCAACAAATAGCACAGTACTGGTTGCCGCTGGGGTG